TCTATACAACGAAAGGAGACTGCGACCACACAAAAGGCCACACCATCTTGGTCTTCATACCTTCAATATTGGTAAGGATAATCTTTTTAAAGAGGAGCAACTAGAGCGCGCTCCTATATTATGTATAAGGAACCGAACTAGTTTCAATTTAGATACGGACATCAAATGTTGTGGCCTCTATTTTGGTCGCAGTCTCCTTTCGATGTATAGATGTGGTCTGACCTCGTTTCGCAACTTGTTCATGTTGATAGGTGGACCTTTTTGAGCGTACCTCTGCTATAGTAGTTATCATATTTCCAAACGTCGAACCATGCATAGACTTTTACATTGTCAGAAATTTCGCCGGCATCGTAGTCGGCATCGTCAGTGAGTCTTGTCATTCTCAGCACCAAGCCTCAAAGAGACAGGTGAAATCAATCCCTTGACAAAATTTCAACCGTTTCGGCACGCTTGGAAACTGTACTAGAGGACTTCGGACAAGCTGCGTCCAATTAAGTCTCTGTGACAACATAACCAAGTTGAGAAAACGAGGTCAGACCACATCTAAAATAGTTTTATCACGTTCATTCAGATTAAAACATTTTTACATTGTTCACTCTAGCATTTCACCAACTGATGCAGCGAAATACGGCTCGATTAAATTTGGAAATTATCCTGAATTTATCCAGGATTCAAAAACAGGTGTTCCTATTTCATACTCGTCTATTACCTCTCAATAATTATTTTTATGAATTCATCCAACTAATAATATAATATAACATTAGTTTGCATTGCACCTGAACATTGGCATGCATCGCCAGGAGTTCACAATGAAAATTCAACCACTATACAAAGCATCCTGGCTGGGTAAAGTAAACAAAATATTTTGATTTTTTTATTTTTAAAAATGCATATTATGTTCTTAATAATATTACATATATATATAAATCTTGAATCCTACCTCTCGAAGTTATTTCAGCTGGCCTCCTTTGACTAAATGGAACCTCTTTTATGCATTTTTCATCCAAAGATTCACCTGAATCCTGAATGGTACTTAGTTCTCTGCTTATTCTAGACATGGCTAGCGGAGGTTGCTGTCGTCCTTGAATCGGAGCATGTCGATTATTAATATGGCCCATATCATTAGTTATCACTTTTTCTATTTTCCCAACCTGTTCATGACTATTGCTTCTAGCACACTTTAACTCTTTCTCACCGCATCCATTCTCGCCTCCGACCTCTTCTGACAGGAGATTATATTCTTTGGATGAGTTCTCCAAATATCCACAGTGAAGTGAAGATAGCGGACTCATAATCACGTAGCTGGGCGAAGCTATTTTCAAAGATCCCCGGCTTGGGAGGTTTGTGGAATGTTGTAGCGTGTTATGTGATGGGGAGTCTAATGACTTGGGCGCCATCGCCGGACTTAAGCGTTGGCCGGAAGATGACACAATTGGGTTTCCCCCTATGCCTGAATGAGGCTGTGCTGCTTGAAGAGGG